TCGAGGATTCGAATTCGTATTTGATTCGTTAACGAACTCATTTTTTGATTTGAATTTGATTCGTTTAGAATATTCGAACATATTCGATTCGATTCGAAATTCGTTTCAGAAAAAAAAAATATATATATATATATATATAATTAAAAAATTATTATAATTACAAAAATACTTTTTATGTGTTTCCATGTTTTTAGGAAAAATTGTTAATTTAGGATGGTTTTACTTTTTATGTCATAAAAATATTAGGAATATAACAATATATATATATATATATATATATATATATATATGTATGCATATATTATAAACAAAATGTATACTATATATAATTTATAAAATGTATATAATTATTGTTAACAAATCGAATATTCAAATTTCAAATCGAATATCTACAAATTCGAATTCGGATTCGTTTAACTTTCGAATATAAAACATTATTCGTATTTCAAATTTGAATCACGAATATCGAATTCGAATATTGAATCGAATAAAAAAAATTCAATTTATTTACAAGCCTACCAAACACAGGTAAAACTGAAGTCCTATTAGAGACTGGTTCCATGTTGTTTAATCATGGACAAGGTCTTTAATCTCTCTTGATTTACTGATTTAATGCAGTTTTATGTCAGTTGCAGGGACAACAAAAGTTAAAAATCAATGTTCCTAAGTCGGTCATTCGTTCAAAAAATGGCAATAGCATTGAAGTTTAAGATACAATACAGCTTTCAACTGTTAATTTGAAATTCAGAGAAGCTGCTCACGTGACACAAAATCCACACCTGTGATGCCTTTGTTACCCGCATACGCAGTTAAAGTTGATGGTGTGCTTAGTGACGGTTACAGGATACATAACAAAGCCATTGGAAGGTACAGCATAAATAAAGTCACATGCAACAATAAACTGGAACACAGAACAATCATGGGAAATGCTTACTAACCAAAGTTGATGATACATACCTTGTCCAAGTAAGAATCTAAACACGGTATGCGTCGCCGAGACATTACAAGCTGAGAAAAGACAAGAAAATAATAAGAAACTAAAAATG